CCCCCGGGAGCCGCCGGCTGGGCCGTCCCGCCGAAGTATGGGCTACTGAATGAACTTGCAGCATTTTGTTCAAGCCTCCGCTGCGATGCTCCGCGGCATAATGAGCCGGGCCCTGTATACAGGCATTCATGCTGGTCTGAATGTGGTGTTGAACCTTCTCTGTGCTAGAGCGGTTTGATGGTTTGAATGGAGCTCCCTGGTGGGACATTGCTCTCCGCAACTGTGCCTCTTTGGATGACTGTTGTTCCTTAACATTCATGCCTCATTATGGGGCAACCTGTTAAATCAGGGAGAACAGTGTGCCAAAGTGTTGCTCAGGGGCACCGGCAGTTCAGCGCTGGGCATAAATAAGGGCCGCCGAGGAAAATAACTTTCATCGCATCTCTGGGCAAAAGTGATCCCGCTTTAATGGTGCCTCTAGTAGCCCGGTTTAAGTATATAAAGAGTGATAGTGGAATGTTTTGATTGAGTCTAAACATTGTCTTTGAATAAAGCTGAAACCATGTAATTAATGTGTCTTTTTAATAAGGGACAATACGGTCGTTCAAGCTATTTAATTTCATTTAATTTTCCATCCCATTTGCTCCAAAGGCTGCTTTTACTTTTAACACCCGGCCTTTCATGCTGCATCTTGCTCCAGTGGGCACATTAGATCGGTTTCACCCTTCCTTTTTAGGGAAGGAAAAATAAAAGAAAATGTGGTCCCTTTCCTCTTTTGTGGACAATTTATTTCACTTGGGGAACTTCAACTTTGAGCCACAGGACAGAATAAAAATTGGAGAACTGGTGTGAATGCTTCCAGAGCAAGGGCTTTTCTTTTCTGAGTGGATGGGAACCAGCCACAATCGGCTATATTAATAAATAACTTTCCTCACAGTCGGCCTTTACATGGTCCTATTGATAAAATTGTTCGCGTGTCGTTCACGCTTTTTGACTCATTAAGGCCTGGGAGGGAGCGGCTCCCGAGGCGGAGCAGTAGGGTACCTTGGTCGCCTTAAAAGCCCTCTCTCTACCTCTGCGGACCTCGGGATTTCAACCCGGTCTCATCTTCAAGTGGCCAGGCCAGAGGTTACAGGGACATGTTCATGTCTTAAATTTATTGCCCTCAACTTCTTGTTTATCCTTTTTTTTTTTTTCCCCCCTCCATTCAGACCACTGATCAAAGGGGTCATCTTCAGTTCCTCACATCCTCTCCTCCCCTCTTCTCGTTCCTGAAGTGAACAAGAAGCTGCCCCGCTCCCGGGACGGTCCCTGCCGTCGATCGGTGCTCATTGATGCTGCTGGCGGCAGGAGGGACATTTATCTCTCTTGCTCGTCAATATCTGTAATTGCTAAAACCACATCCACGCCCCACGCGGACTCAGTGCCGGACAGAAACCCCCGCAAGGAGGTTATGGCCCCAACCTTGTTCGGGTCCCTCTCGGCCGGGGCAGCTCCCCGCCCAGAGCCGGTGGCTTGGGGGGAGCAGGCGGTGGCTTGCGGGGAGCAGGCGGTGGCTTGCGGGGAGCAGGCGGTGGCTTGCGGAGCGCCGGGCTCGGGCAAATGTCACCGCAACGGCAGCGGGAACCGGCCAGGCTGAGCTGTCCTTGCTGTCCCGGAGCACAGCAGGGCAGGGAGAGGAGAAGAGCATCTTTGCAAGTGCCAGCTCCTGAGACTCGCCGGTTCCAAATCGCTCTCTCCCCCCGTGCGCAGCCCTGGGGCTTTTCCTCCCGCCGTGCCAGGGGCGGCGGGGGGCAAACCAACCCAGATCAGTGCAACAAACCCACCTGAACCATCGCCTCGGAAGCGACGTGCCAAGGCTTATCTTACAGACAGCAGGGTTACCTGAGAGGAGCCCGCTCAGTTACCCAGCCCCTCCTGGCAGATACACCTCTAAGCGCAGCTTTGTGGTTTTTCTTTTGAAATGTATTAGGTCTGACTATTAGAAAAACGGCAGGGAGAGAGAGAGAGGGAAAAAAACCAACCAAAAACCTCCATACCTGTAACTGCTTCCGAAAGCAATGGATAAAATCTGCCTTAGCAACTTCTCCCCAGGACAAACAACAAAAAAAAAAAGGTCAAGAATTCTTCTTTTTGGAGAGTTGTGGGGTACAGAGCAGAGCAAACCGGCCAGCGGGAATCAGATGGGACTATAAAAGCAAGAATGGAACATTTATTTTGTTGCTGTACTCTGGCAGAAACATCTGGAGTGTTGTATGTGCATAAGAAAAAAGTCACACACCTTTCCTTTTCAGTTATTGGAAAATTATTGGGATAAACATCCAGCCTGAATTAGAAGGTGACTTAATCCTAACACCTCGTTGTGTCTTAATTGAAATATTGATATGAAGAGGAGGGACTTAGGCGCACTCTGCTCGAATCACTTATTTCTGGCTTCATTTACTGTTGCTTTTTGTAGGTTTCCCCTCCTCAAGTAGTCTCGGTGTAAGCGATTTTGCGTGTGGGAGAGGAACTTGTGGATGTATTAAACGAGCAATCCAGCTGCACGCTGTTCGCTAGACATCTGTGTTATCTGCTGGCCGTTTCTCTGGTTCCTGGTGGCTGGATGTCTCTATTTCCTCCTGTCTCCCTTTCCTAATCTCAAGAATGACAGAGACATCTTCCCCAGCGCTGGCAGATGCAGCGGTTTGTGTTTTACAAGGGGTACAGCGGCTCATATTTTGTGCTATTCATCCTCTTTTAAGGATCAAAGCTCTTCTAAACAGATTACTGGCCTGAAACCAACCCACTGAAATGGTAATATGGTCGTTCTTTAAAAAAAAAAAAAGACAGAAAGAAAGAAAGAAAAAAGGAAAGTGTAGGTATTTTCTGGTGTTTTCCCATCAAGTACCTGCCCAATTTCTGTATGGCACACGCCGGGAATCAATAGAAGTTAACAAGTCCTCAAAACATTCCCCATCTCTTTGTTTAATCTCCTTTACAATAAAGCCAAGGGAAGAGAATTAAAAATCTTTGAAGTATATTAAACCTCAAAAGGCTCAGCCAAGTAGACTTAAAATAGTCACTTATTTTCCAAAACTGGTTTGTCGAGGAACAATAAAAGGAAGTAAAATTTATGGAGAAATTATACAGTGGATTTGTCACTTAAAATATCGTAACTGTCTCGGGGACAATACCCCATGCTGAGGATTAATGGTCCCTCCAGACCTTTGATTCACCAGCGCCTTTTCTTTGCCCTTGACAAATTGGATTTTTAGGAATGGGAAGGTCGCCTGGCCCATTGTCTGCCAGCCATTCACTCCGCCTGATTATGCAGGAGGGTTAGGGAAAGGCTCCATGTGACCCTCTTGGATGGGACTCCGCAGCTGCTCGAGGAGCCAAACTCTCTCACCAAACTCAGCGCCCCAGAGCATCCCCCTGCCAAGGGGTACCCCTCCTGCTCCCGTTGAAAAGCCGGCGTTCTCACACCGCCGCGTCACTCTGCGGGCGGAGATAACGCCTGTGCTCATCCTCCCCGACGCCAGCGCTGTCACTCCGGCCCCCTTAAGTAGTTGGGGTTCCCGAGCGCTCCCACCCAGAGGCAGCGATGCAAACCAGCAGGGCTCCGGCCATCAGTGTGAGCGCGGAGAGCTGCATCCCGGCCGGGCTGCGGCTGGGTCCTGTGCCGGGCATCTTCAAACTGGGCAAGTACCTGTCAGACCGCAGGGAGCCAGGACCCAAAAAAAAGGTATTTTTATTATTTTATTTTTTTTTTTTTTTCTACGGTCTCTCCTGCACCGCTGGACCTTGTTTTGTTGGTTTTTTTTTTTGTTGGCTCGGGGATATAGCTGGTTTGGGAGAAGAGGCTGCTCTCCTCCCCTTCCTCTTCCATCCTTTCTTCTTAGAGAGAGCCAGGAAAGGAAAGGGAAGCGTTTCCAGAGCGTCCCGAGATGTCTCCTGGCGGCTTTGCCAGGAAAGCCTGCCCGTGCGTGCCCTCTCCCTCCCCATCGCCGGGGCTAACCGAGCCCGGCCGGCCCCGCAGCCCAGGCCCGGGGACCCAGGGGCTCTCCCGAAGGAACGGACGCTCCCCCGCCTTGGACACAGACGTGCTGAAGGCACCTCCGCAGCCCCGTGCCTGTGTCCGGTGCCCGGTGCCGGTGGGCGCTGGTTCCGCCGCCCCGTGGTGCTCCCCATCACCCCTAACCCGGCAGGGCCAGGACGTGCCAGGACTCCTGGAGCCCCGGCAAGACGGCGGCATGTGGCTTTTACTGGGTTTTGTCCGGGGAAGGAGCAGCGGGAGAGGCAGATGCACGGTTATATTTCTGCGTTTGGCTCGGGTTTGTGCCCTTCCATCCCTCTCCTCAGCCGAGGGTCCAGCGGGTCCTCAGGCTGGGGCCCGGGGAGGGGGTGGGTGGCTCGGCCTGGGGCCGGTGCTGCCCCGGGGTGCGGGTCGCAGGTGTCGGTGCAGCCCAGCGAGGCTCAGCATCCTCGCAAAGCCTCGGACGAGCTCCTACCCCCGCAGCCGCAAATAACCCGCACAACGGGAGCGGGAGGAGGTAACGGGCACCTGACTGCCGGCTCCGGGGTCAGTCGATGTCCGAGCTGGGCAGGAGCTACGAGGAAGCGTTGAAGGGTACTCGCCCCGTCCATGAGGCTCTTCAGGGGGCTGCGGATGAGACCCCTCCTTCCACCCCCCGGGCAGCCGCGGCTCACGCGTTCCGCTCGGATTTTTAATGCCCTTTAATTGTTTTTAAACGCTCTGCCAGCCCACTCAAATTTATTTCTCATCTGGCTCCCTTGGTTTATCGCTTTAGACTGCTTTGTTCCGATGACTTTTATTGCACGGTCATTCAGGGAATGGGCACTTCATTTTCCCTTTGTATAGGCAAGCAGATTATGAAGTATGGGGCTACAGAGACTTTGTAGTTAAACGGAATCCTTTCCGCTTTCTCCCTCCCTGCCTCCCGACGAGTCGTATCTGTTACAATTGTTTTGCACCCCCTCAGAGGCTGCCCAAACTCTTCAAAATATTAACATCTTATCTGGGCATTTCATACAGCGGCAACTGCGAATGAAGAAGGTGTGTTTGGGCTTGTGCGACCCGAGGGAAAAATCCCATTTCCCCTCGCCGGGCCTGGGCTCTTCCATCCTTACCCCCGCGGAGCATCACTCCCCTCCAGGCCAGCCGCGGCTCTCCCAGGGCACCTGCGGACTGAGGAAGGTGCTACCCCACGGTGGGTGAGGATGGAAGAGGCAAACAGGCGAGAAAACGAGGTGCTCCCGCCGCTCCTTCCGAGCTGCGGTGCCCAGACCCCTGCCCGGTGTGGGAAAGCAGCCTTGCCGGGCAAGGCAGAGCGGGCAGGAAGGCGGGAGCACGGACGAGCTTGTTGCTTTCTTTCTCTTTCGTCTGGCGTGGAAGTGACAGAGGTGCCGCCTGTCTTCCAGGTGCGGATGGTGAGAGGGGAATTAGTGGATGAAGCCGGGAGCTCAGCTCTGGAGTGGATAGGGTTAATCCGGGCTGCCCGAAACTCCCAAGAGCAGACACTGGAGGCTGTTGCGGATCTGCCAGGAGGACAGGTATCCCACTCGCGGCTCCGGGTCTTCCTGGCACCGTTCTCCATCACCTACCACCCCTCTCAAGCCTTCTGAAGAAGTTTCCTTTCTCCCCTTCCCAGATTTTCTACCGGGCGCTGCGAGATGTCCAGCCAGGAGAGGAGCTCACCGTCTGGTATTCCAACCCTCTGGCGCAGTGGTTTGACATCCCCGTCACGGCCACCCCGACGCACGACGAGAAAGGTACAGATGCGGGCATTTCGTTTCAGAGCAACTCAACGAAACGAAACAAAACAAACCCTCTTTTCATTGACACCTTTGACTGGAGCTCAGACTGCGGTAGGCAAACGCGGGCCCTTCGAATCTGTGCCCTCCGAAAAATTAATGCCGGCACAGCTGCGGGGACTTTTAACCTGCCACCCTTTAAACTAAGACTCCATCTGCTTATATTTAAAGGGTGATCTATTAACTCGGTAGCGTATGGCAAGGGCCCCTGTGCCTCGGGTCTTTTCGTCGTCATCGGCACAATTTAATGATCTTTTGATAGGCAAATTGGATTTTTATACAGCAAGGCTGGTGTTATGCCAGACAGCAATTTGGCTTTGTAGGTTTTCAAAATACCTCTTTCCTCGTTCAGAGCTGTCCCTGAAGGACACTTTTCAGGTTATCTTGTGGGCAGATTAACATTGTCAAGACAAAACGGGGGCAGTCCCTATAAAATTGGATGCATGGGGTAAATATTAAGTCGGAGTCTAATTACACTGAGATAAGAATATCCGAGGGTATCGGGAAGGAGAAGACAGCTCTGGGACCGCTTATTGGCAGCAGCGGGTTCTTAGCTGGGGATGACACCAATGTTAACAAAACCGCTGAGGTGGCAGCACATTAAAAGAGGGGAAAGAAGACGAACCCCCTCGGTGTTGATCTGTCGGGCTGCTCCGGTGGCGGGCGCAGCCTCCCGCTGATCCCGGGCCCCGGGGCAGCGGCTCCATGAGCCCGGCGGACACGCACTCACCTCGGGCTGAACCTGCTCCTTTGGCGGCGAGGGGACCTCACCTGCTCCTGCCCTACGCAGAAGATCCTTCGGCCTGCAGGTGTCCCTGAGGAGGGAGCAAGGGCACCATCCAGGACGGAAGGGATGGGGGTCGAACCGAGCCCTTCCCACCCGTCAGGGCTGGTTTCTCCGTGGGATCATCAGGGTCCGGCCTGGAGGGATGCGAGCTGAAACACCGGGCGCTGGCACCTCGCGTCCCATGAGACTCCTGCCATGCACAAGAGCCCAAATCCCTCCTTGTACTACCAGGAAAAGGAGCTTTTGGTCACGTCTGTGTCCCCTCCTAACAAGGGCAGTGAGGCCATGGGTCTGCGGAGGGTCACCCCTTCTAAAAGCTCTGGCGAAGTTTCGGCTGCAGGAAGGAGATCGTGGTGCCGGGTTCCCCAACGCCCTTGCCAGAGGATGGGTACTAGTGCTGCTCGGAGGAAATAAAGGAAAGAAAGCTCAGGACTGCTAGAGGCACCCAGCGTGTGGCATCTTCCTCGCCCCGTCGAAGTGAGCTTTAGTTGCAGACAGACCCTGCAGGTCGGTGGTGCCTCCAGCCCCACAGTTTCCAGGCTAATTAATACGGACTCAGAATAAGCGCATCAAAATGCTGAAGTGCTCTTCTCTTAAGGATAGTACACAGGAAAAAACAGCCCAAAACCAGACTGCTAGAGGCACCCAGCGTGTGGCATCTTCCTCGCCCCGTCGAAGTGAGCTTTAGTTGCAGACAGACCCTGCAGGTCGGTGGTGCCTCCAGCCCCACAGTTTCCAGGCTAATTAATACGGACTCAGAATAAGCGCATCAAAATGCTGAAGTGCTCTTCTCTTAAGGATAGTACACAGGAAAAAACAGCCCAAAACCAAAGCCAAAACCAAGCCAAAAACCTTGCGGAAGAAATTCAGAGAGCTTTATTATTATTATTATTATTATTATTATTATTATTATTATTATTATTATTATTATTATTATATTTTTTAACAAAACAAAACGCCAAAAGCA